TGTCTCCACACATTTACTCCTCACGGCTAAACTCTGCCAGCTCCCTGTGCACTTCCTCTCTCACATGACCTCTAACTGAGGGTTAAAAAACACAAGTGCTTCATAAAACAGGGGAAAACTGGGATAGAAGGCATAAACTGGATAAACAAAGTCATAACTCAACCAGTCGGTGAATTATAAATAGATTGAATGTGATGACGTCAACAAAGCAACAGTTGCTGCATTGGAAAATGTGCTTGAAAGGACTTTCAAATGTTGAACTCCACAACATCTAAATGCTGTTATTAGACTCGTTTGTTAAAGCTGCATGAAGCAGATATTTGCTCTAAGCCCCTCCCACAAGAGAAGTGAACTAGGCCTTAAAATAGGTGAAACATGTCTCCCAAACCCTCGATTGTATTCAATTGTTGCCGACATGGAGCGCCGGAGACAAGACGATCAAGTCATCGTTCCAAGTCCGCTGTAAGGTCAAGTCTCCACGTAAGACTCGGAGCAATCACACAACCACAGGGTCTCCATAGAGCCTTCTGCTCATTATCTGATGATGACATTTACACCACTCGGAGACCCCGAGAAAAATATGATGGCAATGCGTCAAGGAAACTATAACCAATACTTAAAGCCAAATTTAAACCCCCACTCTAAGCAGCTCAGAAAGACTGCTTTACGTTTCTTGAAGAACTCCAGACAGTTGGTGTCGACACCAACGTGCTGACGACACCAACTGTCTGCCATCTATAATCCAGTTATGAGATCCAACACCCGTTTTCACACCGTGTGATTAGGCAGAGGATCAATAGGGACTCCACAACCCTCTTATGGACACAGCCAATAGGTCTTAAAAAATCTGGGACTCTCCACCAATTGCTCTTAAAACTGAAGAAGCTTCTCGGATGAGAGCTGAAACGTCTTCAAGAAAGAAGTGCAGACGCTTTTCTTTCCAAGCTCCTTAGACTACGATGACCTGGACGACTGAGAACCTTCACAGACATCACTGCTTAAACGTTTTTGTGTTTCACAAATTATTATGTAACCTTTAGAAGTCAATGCCTTCACCAGTTTAGCATTAACGCCATTAAATTCAGTCAGAGTTTGTAGTTCAGTTTATCTTAGTTGTTGGAAGTCTGTCCTCCATGACGTGGAAAACACACCTCTGGGTTGTGGTTCATTTGTGTCTGGGCGTGTGCACACGAGTTAGATGTGATGTCCTACTCACAAAGACAAACGGCAGCCAGCACACGCAAGCCATTTTCTGGTGGAAAGCAGGTGGGGAACAGAGGCTGCAGGACATAGTTGGAGAACGTCAGTGCGATCACAGCCTGGTTGGTCGGGTAGATGACAAGCACAGCGATCCACAACCGCAGGAACCTGCGCAAAAAGAAGGGATAGTTATGAAAGAACTTTAACTGAGTATTAATGGACTACGCGAACAAAAATAACAAGTCAATAAAACAGTTCATATGTTCATGGTTTATTAAGCTTGTAACAGTCAATGATTAGTGAATCATTTATGAAAGTACCAGTGCCTATTTCACTTTCTCCACATTACATTAATTTAATGTAATTGTACTAGGAAAAGAAGCTACACAACAGTGTCACCTTTGGGTTCTGAGGAGCCATGAATGGCTTCAGTTGCTATACTCAGCTAACACTAAAAAACAAATGACCCAGTTACTGAATAGAACCACTTCCTTGCATCACTCAGAACAAAGCAAGGAGAGGAAATCTCATGCTGCTTGTGACTAAAATAGTAACATTTTTTTGCAGCTACTTTGATGTTAGGTTACCGGCACATTGCCCCGTTGTTTTCCTGTGTTTGTGCAGGGAAACGACATTTAGTTTAACCCAGACCACTAACATTTCTGCCTGGCAACAGTTTAAAATGGGGTGACTCATCCAGTCTTTTAACCTGCCAAAGTAGCAGTAGTCATGGAGAAACGCAACAGTGAAACAATACACCAACACGCCACATGTTACACATTGTCTGCTTTAATATCACATCAGCCCATTGTTTTTTGTTACATTTTTTATTGTGTTTACTCACATTGATGTATTTTGTAATTTTCACCTCGTTTTCATCTTACATGATTTGTTTAGATAGACATGCCTGACAATACTTATCTCACTCGCCTCAGCATGATAACAAAAACATGCAAACAGGCAGATATCAGCAATAGTGGAATAAAATGAATATCAGGCTGATGACACGAGATTTAGCAGAGCTCAGGGGCTTAACGGAGTGACAGGTACAGCCATACACGTGATATCTCCATTAAATTCTCTGGAAGCTTAAAAAGGGATCATTACACTCGAGTGCATTAATGGGATGGCGGCTCGCTGGAATTTGTGAGTGTTTGTTAAAAAACGTCACTCTCGAATAACTCCCCTTTCACACTGCTCGCTTCACTTTTAGCATTTTTAAAACTCAAATTTAGTATATTTCAGGTAAATGATGTTTTTTTTACTTTTAATAAAAAGGATCTTTAAACCTACATTTTATTACTGTTAAATACAGTAAAAAAATAATGTGTTGGGTTTAATGTGTAAACATATGATAAACTAAGGTGACAACGATGAAACAAGCTAATCTACCATTACACTTTGAAGCACACCAAGCTAGCTGCAATATTTTAATGTTAATTAATGTATAAATTATCTATAATATTATAAAATGGACTTGTTGAATATTAGGTTGTTAATAAATTATGAAAAGAACAATCTGTAAGTTATTTAGCACTAAGTAGTATTTAAATATATCAGTGTATAAAGTTTGTGGATGCAGCTAGAAAACAATGTTAGATTCTGTTAGCTCATAAGTTAGCATTGCACCTAAAAACTAAAATGCTAACATTAATGCCTTTCTTCTGCACTGAGTCTATGTATAGTCTTTGACCTAGACTACACAAGTGGCTGACACTGTTGCTAGTGTTCAGTCAACTTTGTTTTAAACCTACACATTAGGTACGTCATAACTTCAAGCCCTTTGGAAATCCTACACCGTAATCTGACGTGCACCTTCCTAGAAATGTAACCATACATCGCCCTCGACAGCTACAGATGCAGCTGTCGGCGTCACCCACTTGTCGAGGCTACAACATGGCCTGCAGTTACATTTCTAAGTAAATGCACGTCAGTTTACGGTGTCGGGCACAGCAAAGTTATGGTGTAGAGTTTCAGAAGGGTTTGCAGTTAGGCTGATGGAATGTAATGAGAAATTTGTGAATCATTTGTTTCCATTTAACTTCCACTTAAACCACTGAAACCAGCTACACCTACAGTATTCCGTGTAGGGGACATTACAGGTGTTACGTAACCCTCGTCAGTTTGATACAACAAAGGCCCTTTGTGCATGAAGCACATTCAAGTGTTTGACGATACAATTTTCAAATTCTTTCTTCTGCGAGCTCGCCTTCGCAAAGCTGCGAAGGTGATGTAAGTACACCCACCATTCCAGTTAGTGACTTATAAGCACGCCCCCATATACACAGATGGGGACAAAGGGAGCAGCAAAACAAAAACAAACATCCCTTGAACATGGATTTATTTATGCTATACCCAGGGCACATGGAAACGGTGCGGCCCCAACACTTCAAACTGAGCATGTGAAGCCACAGAGTACAAAGTCTCTGGAGTTAGATGTTCATTGATGTGTATTGATAGTTTGCGCACAAAGAGACACAAACAATCATTGTCTGTTTGGTCTGCTTGAATTCCTCTCCCAGAATATCTTGATAATATGCATGCTTGTGATAGTTGGAAAAAACAACAACAATGGTCTGGTGTGTGTTTACTTTCTGAGAAAAGGCCTAGTGTGTGTGAAATCTTCGCTAACAAACAATATTGTTTTTGCTAGGAAACTAACTTAGCGTGATTCCCAAGCTCTTGCTGTAAGAAGCCATTTATGGATGAATGGGAGGAGGCTGTGAGCGGAAAGTCAATTCAAAACTTTTCATTAAAGATTGAAAACCCCCACAGCGGCGTGCCATTCGAGATTCTCTGAGTCACCTGGAAGCTCATTTACTGGCAACTAATTTGAGTCAGTTGGGTGAATGTCTGTTTCTAAGATCTGCAGCTGGCTACAAGCTAAAGTCCACCTTTCTACGGTGGACTTTAGATGCAAAAATTTCACAAAATTAACGTCATTGTGGGATTTAGTGTTTTTAATATGTTATATCTGGTTGCTGTGCTTGTACCTCTGGACCTGCTTTGGATCCATACATCTGAGCTCCATCAGCTGGATAATCCACCAGGACTCGTCAAATCCATGTCAAATTAACTTTAGTCGTTTCTGGCCCATTTCAGGCCCTTCTTCTCTTTGTTATGCAGTTAATAACCAAACCTTTTGTGGAATGACTGGGGGCTTCTTATCCCTCACTGATGTGAGAGTGAATAAAAAAGTCCAAAGAGAGAAGCTGAACTATAAATCATTCCAATTACAAAGATGTAATCCTTTGAAAACACATTTGTTATGGAGAAAATCAGCTTTCAATTAGTAACAAATGGTGTCCTATTTTTTGTACGTCATGGTCTTAACTTTTTCCAGCATAAAGAAAGACAGCTGGGCGACCCCCCCCCCCCCCCCCCCCTGTATCCTTAATGTTGAGTTTTGACACCTCAGTATATAATCAATAAAAACATGGTTTCAGGGCCATTAGAATAAGTTTCTGTTTTTTCGAAGGGCGGCCCCAGTAAGCTACTCTGAGGCCTTTTGTTCAATGACAAGGCCAATGATAGAAACTCCTCAATTAAAATAAACAAAACAGAGTTACCCCTAATAGACCTCCAATGGGGGAAGAGTTAAAACACAGGTGCTGATTTACCCCTGAAGATGTGTGACATCTATAAAAGAACGAACGACTCACTCACCCTGCCAGCCCGCCGAAGATGTCCTTGACGTAGGAGTAGTCTCCTCCAGACTTGGGGATGGAGTAATTTTAAAAAGTCCCCTTCCCCCCCCCCTCCAGAAAAAAAAAAAAAAAAAAAAAAAACCTTTTTTGGGGGGGGATGGTGACGCCTAGCTCGGCGTAGCACAACGCCCCGATGGCGGTGATGATGCCGGTGATGATCCAGACGATCAAAGCCACGCCCACTGAGCTGGCATTCTCCATCACACCCTTTGGGCTGACGAAGATACCTGAGCCAATAATGTTACCTGGTGGAGGGAGAGAGAGAGAAAGGGTTCACGTTTCAGAAGTGCTGTCCAAAAGCATTATGGGAAGTAGTTGTCTAGCTTTAGGGCTTGTCCCATGTTATTAGAAAACAAAGTGTGGCTATAAGGGCAACTGCTCTACCAATTTATTACTATCTTGTGATTATTATACAAGTGGATGGCTGATCACTGGTGTATGAATTCACCCAGAAGCACCGAGGGAAAGACTGAGGAAACAGACATATGACAAACTAGACAGGAAATAAATAGTTAGGTCACGAGTAAAATGGAAAAGATGCTTTAAAAAATAAGAGAGAGAACGAGCAGAGTTTCAACAGCAATGAATCAGTCGAGCTGCCTGGCAAAGTGGGAACCTGCGATATGCTGACTTGGCATAGCTATGAGGAGATGGAAGAGGGCCGAGAGCAGGGTTAACGAGTGCAAAGAGGGAGGAGGACTGAAACGTGGACGCAGAGGGGGGAGAATAATGCCCTGACATATTCAATGAGCGTCAGAGAGCAGTTTGCACAGCAGATGAAAGAGACGGATGGTTGGGTTCAGGTCTAACACGAAAGCGTTCACTCCTCTGATAAGGCTGATGTTGGCGGTCACGAGAACTGTTCAGCTCAACGTGGTTTGAAGGCTTGATGCCATCAGCCACAGGGAAAAGTGCCGGGGTCAAAGGTTGGCTGGGTTAAATCACAGTGAGTGCAGTGTTACAGTACAAAAGTCAGAGATATGAACGATGCTATCATATTGTGCCTCGAGACATCATCAGGTGGATCCTTTGTGGCTGCTATAACTGCAGATAAAGTGTAGTATTTAAGCTGCTGTCGACTCCTGTTCATACCAAGCTGGGGGATTAGGGCTCTAAGTTGTGAATATTATCAAACTACTTCCATTTTAACCAATTAGACAAACTAAACCATCCTTTAGTAAAGGTTTTTAGACATTTTACCTGTGTAATATTAACGCTACATCTCTGTTTATATATCTTCCAGGAAATCATGTGGGCTTTTTCAAATTTCTTGTGTAATACAGGACTGATTCTTCAGGCCTGTATAAATCTAAATCAAACAATATTTTTTTTTTTTAATCCTCCCTTGTTTGCACACTCATACACACACAATGGTGCTCTATTTAAGCGCTCGTGGTACCTCGGCTTTTCTAAGATTAGCCTAATCTAAGTCAAAGGCATGTGCACAACTAAAAACATGCACATTGTTTTTTAGCTGTAACAGACTCCATATGGATCGTGTGCGAGTGGCGAGCCGCTGGCTTACATAACGCTAGTTGCAGCTTAAAGGTAAAAAGGAGACAAACAAACTCTTTCTCCCCTGATTTTGTTGACAACTTTATGACAAAAAGTGCCTCACCTTTAACATCTAGAGGCAGGGGGGGAAAGCAGCCATCTGCTGACTCAGCATTAATGTTGCTTTTCTTGTAAAACGGTCTGGATGGGTGGATTTGCCTGTGCAACATAAAGTTTGGTAGACTTTCCAGAGGCTTTTGAGTGTAAAGTGTCTGATCTATGTTGTTTTGAATGTGTTTATGCTCTGAGCTTTAGATAATGGAGACTTTTTTACAGAGGCAATCAAATGTGCGCGTGCATGTAGTGCATTCATGTCATGTGCATCATTGCGCACTACGGTGCAAGACTGCTGACTAATGTGGAATCTGCATGTTTCCTGTTCTTACATTTGTTGTTTTACACCCCTTTGTCTCCAAGCAGACCAAGGGGAAAGAGATTTGGGAGGTTTTTTTGGTTTTTTAATGTGGAGTTGCTAAACTCTTTGCAATCTCTGACCAGCTGAGTGCTGCATCACCTTTAAGAAGCAGCCGATAAAAAGTCTGAGCTGTCGAATCTCCACAAAGTTGTTCTTTTTTACATATTTAGGTACATTTTTAACTACAAAATATAAATAATATATTTTTTTATTAGATCGTTGTTTCATAAAGGAAGAGGATTGGTTTGTGCCCTCTGAGCATATTTCTGTTCCTTGTTTTTCAAAACAAGATTTCATTTTTAAGGAATTAGAAAGACCACTTTTTCATATCTAGGTTTCTAGGAAGCCACATTTTATGTGACTCATAATAGAAACTGGGATCACTGTCTGGTACGTTCAGCTGCCCACATGAGTCACCAGAGCAGTCATGTAACCCCCCCACCCACCCCCAACGAAATAAAAAGTAGCTAAAAAGTAACGATAATTTGCAAATTAAATGATACGTAATTCTTTATGCAAAATAATTTTTTAACATAAAACACCAAAAAAGAGAATGCGATGAAGCAAAAATAAAAACACTTAACGTGCATGTTTTAAGTGGTAGTAAGACTTGGCATCGACAACCAAAATCTAAACAATGCCATGAAAAATAAACACAAAAACACCTGATGCTGGATACAGAAATGAGGCGGTGTTCATGTTAAAACTCCGACTTTAAAACAGATTTAAGATTTTTCTAATCTGGTACAAAACAAGGTCTTAGTCTACATTGCAACAACATATAAACCCATTTAAAATATTTTCAGGCTTAGTTGTGCATAATTATGGGCGAGGCCACTTTGAGTGACAGGAACATGCTGCTTTGTTGTGTTGAGGTTGTAATGAAAGACCTTCTGAGGAGTCTGGTGTTCATCCCCCCCAGTAAGTACATTTTGTTCCAAGGGTGTTTTTGCAAAGTCAGCATCAGTCTTAATGTCACAGCGGATTAGAGACGCACGTTGCTCAAGAAAGTGGCTAAGACAACTTTCCACAAGAAAAAAGAAAATGCTAAAATGCTACACTCAACACTTTGAAACCGTAGTTTATAAGCCAATGGTTTCCACATTAACCACTGTTTATATATTCAGTCTTTTACATAGACTGTAGATAAATGATGCCTATGTCCCTCTTTTATATACAGCCTATTGTATAAATTAGCTTGCCTGAGCCTCCCTGTGACACCCCTAAAGATATCACTCAACCAAACAGCATCCACAAGTTATAAATGTTAGGCAGCGTGTGTGTGTTTGTGCAGCATTATGATATAACCCAGATGAGCCTTTGCAAAGCTCTGTAGAATTAGTCTTTGTATTTCCCCTCAGCTGCAAATCCCTGTTTAAACAGCTACCAAGCTGAGGCAACCTGCTGCTTGGCCCTCAGCCGGGGCCTCAGACTGTGCATGCGTGCATGCTTTTGAATATGAAAGGAAGGTATTATTACACTGAAGTAATTAATCGGACGTAACTCGCATTAATGGTTTTGATAGCAAGAAGAGGAAAAGAGGAAGCAAAATAAAGGCAGGCTTGTTTGTCTGTTTATCATTAATCCTGCCAATTATTCCTGGATTTAGGCTCTGCAATGTGAGTCAGTTTAAAAAGAAATTAATATTTAATAAAAGTACGATTCATCCAGGAATTTCTTTACATAATACAAAGACTGGAGTGCAGCTCAGACATGGCTAAGCCAGGCAAGCTAATAAAACAGCATTATCAGGGTGGAGCCAAAAATGGCCAAAAGTTCACTTCTAATCCCAGGCTTTGGACCTTTCTGCAGTTACGTGTCTTCATTTGTGTGTGTGTGTACGTGTATGAGCGATAAATGCCTGAACTGTACAATAGGCCATAAAAACATTTGATGTCCTCGTGTGCTCGACCCTTTTCATGGAAACCCAGCAGGGCATGTTCGTGACCCAAAGGATCAGTCGAGTCACCTGAGCTCACGTCTCCCTCGCACAGGACGGCGTGAACTGAAGTGGCATGAATGAGTTACTTGGCCAAGGACAAGAGGGCTGAGCGCCGAGGAGTGTGGACTATGGAGGGCTATAAAAACCTCCCGGCCCTGTTCTGCCCCAACATTTCTTAACGATTGGCAGGTAAATGGAGATTGATAAAGCAAGCAGTTTAGATTATGATGAATGCGGGTGTGTTGAAGGGTGGAGCTGAGCTGGTGGAGTAAGGATGCTGTCAGCATGCGCAGGGATCTCCAGCGTCTGATTTCACAGAGTAACAGTCTCATCTCTTCCTGCCACGTCTTTTTTTTTTTGTACTCCTCTCTTGTTGAAAGCCTCTCGGGATATCAACCCACCCCGCCGTCTCCCCTCTCTTCTCCCGTTGCCGTGGAAACACGTGAATGAGTGACTCATCCCCCGCCCTTCTATTCCTCCTGGCAAGGTCAGCATGAGGACCGCACACTCTGGCAGGACAACCTGTGCCATATTTTACCCCAAAGTTTTTATAGATCAGTTTGTCATGTGATGATGATAATGCATCGAGAGACCCCTGTTGCTATTAGACAAATGAGGGATGGCTTTCACCGCTCGCGTTAACTGAGTCCATCTAATCCATGAGGATAGTGACAGTGCTAGTAGGCTGATTGTGGTCATTTGAATTGAAATGAAAAGCAATTTCTGGTTATTTGGTAACTATTTTGATTGAAAATCAATCAGTCAACATTTAAAACAATGCTAATCAATCACACACCTGATCCTCATCATCATTGCTTCTATCTCTGACCTCGGAAAGCTTCTTCCAAGAGAAGTTTGCATGTTATGTTACGCTGCAGGACATATAGCTTATTTTACAATTTGCCCCGTGCAATATAAAACAGCACTTTGAACGATTCGAAGACTTAAGGCTTTGTCATCATTTCCC